ACTTTCGGGGGGAATCATTTCCCTGCCGGCCACTGTCTGAAGCGCGAAGAAGTCTCGAGCGAGAGCGCCGTTCCTGAGTTCGAGGGCCACTGGCCAGGGACTCTTCGGATGACCTATGGGATATATATATATATATATATATATATATTATATATATATATATATATATATCGAACGGGCGCCCTTGTCGCCGTGTCCGGGCCTCCACCGACTTCTTTGAATTCCGAGGAAGTCTCGAGCGATAGCGCCGTTCCTTAGTTCGGGGTCCTTTTCGGCCAGGGGCTCTCGGAGTAAATCGTGACGAAGTATCGAGCAGGAGCCCTTGACGTCGTGGCTGGGCTTCGGCCAACTTGATTGAATTGCGAGGAAGTCTCGAGCGAGAGCGCCGTTCCTGAGGTCGGAGGCCTGTCTGGCCAGGGCGTCTCGGGATAAATGGTGGGGAAGTATCTAGCGGGAACCGTTGTTGTCGCAGCTGGGCCTCCAAGGGCCCACAGTTAGGCTCAAGCCAGCGCTCGAGCGGGAGCTTCGTTTTCCGAGAAAATGTAGCCGCCGTCGAGGCGATAACGCGCGGAACCGTTCCCGGATAGCAGCAATACTTATTTGTATAATTGAATAGTTGACAATGACAATGACGATGCGAATGACAACAACAACACCAACATCAACGACAACAACAACAGCAACAACAACACCAACAACAACAACGATTTGAAGGAAGCTCGTTTTGGCTTTCTCGCGTGCCACTCAAACCTTATATCCCAAACCATCGATATCCGCCATGTTCGTTTTCGATCGTGGCCCCTTGGGGGTATATCTTCCATACCTGCCACGTGAGATTGACGCAGCCCCTAAAACAGTGCAAGAGAGGACGGCTGAGTGAGAGAAAGATGGAGCACGAGAGAGATTAGCAGGAGGGGCTAGGAACAGAAAACACGTGGCATAACTAGACGGGCTGATCGGGCGGGTGAAGGCGGACGCAGGTGGCCAGGTCGAGCGGTCGGGTCGCTGAAGCGTCAGTCCTGCATGCGTCGCGAAGAGGTCTCGAACGATAGCGCGACCCTTAGGAACATCGAAAGAAAAAGCCAAAGCGAGAGCGCGGCTCCTGAGCGTCGAGGGCGCGGCGTATGAATACAATGTGTGAGACTTCCACGCGACGCGAGAGCGCGATTGCAGCATAATGTGTGAGGAAGCCCCGCGATAGAGCGCGATTTTGAAACAAATGTGAGGAAGCATCCAGCGGGAGCTGTTGTGGTTTTAGTTCGCGGCCTGACAACGCAGTCTGACGCATAATAATTGTTTCTGCGAAAACTAAGTGTGAGCCCCGGGTCGGGCGGGCGGACCCTAAATGGGCTGATCGGGTGGGCGGGCCCAGACGGCCCAGGTCTATCGGGCGGGTCGTTGAAGCGCCAGCTCAACATAGGTCGCAAGGAAGTTCCGAACGATGTTGCGATTCCGAGGTAAATTGCTTGGAGGTCCACTGCGGAAGCGTGATTCCTGAGCGTCGAGGGTGCGGCGCCGCAGTAAATTGCGAATCCTGGGTATAAATTGTGCAACAGTCCCGGACGAGAGCGCAATCAAACCAAACACACGGCATGACAGTATCAGGCGGGAGCCATTGTTGTTATAGTTTGGGGGGCCAGGGGCGCAGGCTGAGGCCGAGGTTGTTTTTATATAAAAAGAAAGTGTGAACCCCTGGAGGAGCACATTCATTGAAACAGCATCCCAGGGAGGGGGTCAACACTTATTCCTTTTTGATACGTGAGAAGCAACAGCAGCAACAATGATTTCAAGGCAGTTCGCTCTTATTTGCTCGCGTGCAGGTCAACACATATATCCCAAACCGTCGGTACCCGCCCATTCTCGTCTTCGATCGTTTCCTCTTACGAATGCATATTTTCCCTATCGGCCGCGTGTATTTGGAGCAGCCGCTAACACAACGGAAAGGGAGGGATGATACAAGGAACGGATACGGGGGAGGAAGAAGGATGGAGCACGAGAGTGGTTAGCAGGAAGGGGTCCTGGAGCAGAAAACTAGTTGCAGAACCAGACGGGCGGATAGGGCGGGTAGACATTACTGGGCGGGTCGGGAAGGCGGACCCATGCGGCCCGATAGAGCAGGCAGGCCCCTGAAGCGTGAGTCCCGCATGAACCGCGCGGAATTTTCAAACGATAGCGCGATTCCCAAGTGGACCGTGAGAGGGTCAAAGCGAGAGCCTGATTCTTGCCGGGGGGGTCGAGGGCGCGGGTTTTGCATAGATTACGAAAGAGAACCGCGCAAGAGAGCGCGATTCCTGGATCAATTGCGATGAAGTCTCGCGCGGGAGCGCGGTTTTGATCGAGTTCGGAGGATGTATCAGGCGGAGGCCGCTGTTGTGGTAATCCAGGGGCCAGCAACGCATTCTGAAGTTCAAGATGTCCCAGTGTAGAAGACAATGTGCGAGCTTCGGGAGGAGCTCTCTAATTGAAAACCACAGTTGGCCCTGGGCAGGGGGGATCAACGATAAGTATTCGTGAAGGATGAGCGTATTCGCCTTACCTGCCACGTGAATTTGGTTCAGCCCCAAGGACATTGGAAAGAGGACGGGCGGAAGGGGGAGGGAGAACGATGGAGCACGAGAGAGGTTAGCAGGAGGGAGGCTAGGAGCAGAAAACACGGAGACGGTCTGATCGGGCGGGGCGGGTAGACACCGACGGGCGGGTCGGGAAGGCGGGCCCTGGCGGCCAGGTCGAGCAGGCGGATTGCTGAAACGTGAGTCCTGCATGAACCGCGAGGGAATCTCGAGCGACAGCGCGATTCCCAAGTAATCATGACCCAGGCGAGAACGCGAGTCCTGAGCGTCGAGGGCGCGGCGTTCGAATACATTGTGACGAAGTCCCACGCGAGAGCGCGATTACTGCATACATTGCGAGGACTTCCCGCACGAGAGCGCAATTTTGAAATAAGTTGTGAGTAAGTGTCCGGCGGGAGCCATTGTCGTTATAGTTCGGGGGTCGGGGGCGCAGGCTGAAGCGCAATAGTTTCTTTCATCTAAAAAGGGTGCGAGCTCCGAGAAGAGTTCGTGAATTGAAAAAAGCATCTGAGGGTGGGGTCAACACATGTTTTTTGAAGAATCCAAAAACAGCTATTCGCGTGCCAATCAACATATATATATATATACATATACATATATACATACATGTATGTATGTGTACATATATATATATATATATATATATATGTATATATGTGTGTGTGTATATATTCCGCTTTCTAAATTTTTACAAGCCAGGGCGGGGGGGAAACCCGTCACCCCCCCCCCCAAAAAAAAACGGGACCCCGGGATCTGGGGTTTGGGGACCCTCCGGACGGGCCTCGAAGCGGCCCCCAGATCCTCGCAGGGCGTTTTGCCAAACCTTCCCAGCACACCTACGGCGATCAGGAGGGTCATCGGAGACGTCCCAGAGACCCCCAAGACAGCAAAAGGGCGCTTCAAGAGTGACCGACGTGAGCTCAAGATGGCCCAAGAGGCCTCCAGAACGGCCCCAAAGAGGGCTCCAGGAGCATTTCCAAGAAGGCCGCCCAAGAAGGCCCCCCGAGGCAAAAATCATTGATTTTCTTTTGTTTTTTGTGAATTTTGGGGTTCTCCTCTTTTCGGCTTCCCGACGCTCCAAGACGGCGATCTTCTGGGCGTCCGAAGCCGCCTGGGAGGCTCCAAAATCGCCCCACAACCATCCGAAAGGGCTTCAGGCAGACCAAGAGAGCCCCAAAACGGCACAACACGGGTCCAAGATGGCCCTCAGAGAGCCCCATGGCGGCCCAAGATGGCCCAAAGACACCCTCCGAAGCATTCGAAATCGTGACCCGGTCGTTCAGGGAGACCGCGGTTGGAGGCAGGGTGGCCCGAGGCCCCTGGATGCCCCCAGAATACGCCCAGGAGGCCTCCAGAAGAAGGCTTTAAGAAAGCCCAAAACAACTTGTGTGAGGCCCCCAGAGGCTCTCCAAGGAGGAGCCTCCGCAAGAAAGAGCTGAGGAGGATGAGGAGAATGCCCAGCGTATGGCGAAAATAAAGGAAAAGAAGCATGGAGGAAGGATACCGAATAACATTATTATAGCGGCGATGCCAGAAAAGGCAACGAGGAGTTATCGCTAAATTGTCGGCTTGGCCTTCCTGCTATTCCGCCTGCATGCCAAACTTCAAGGACCAAGGTGCATGGCGCGAAGCGCCACTGCAGTCAGTCTTGTATACATATATATATATATATATCCCAAACCCTCGATGCCTCTCATTTTCGTCTTCGATCGTACCCCGTTCGGGGTATACTTTCCCTACCTGCCACGCGTATTTGGAGCAGCCCCTGACACAACGGAAAGGGTAGGAGGATGGAAGGAATGGACAAGAAAGAAGGAGAAGGGTGGAGGGCAATAGAGGTTAGCAGGAGGGGCCAGGAGCAAAAAACAAGTGGCAGAACCAGACGGGCGGACCGGGCGGTCAGACCCTAATGGGCGGACCTGGGCGGCCACATAGAGCAGGCGGGCCGTCGAAGTCTGAGTCCTGCATGAAGCGCGAGGAAGTCTTGAGCGATAGCGTGATTCTCAAGTAACCCATGAGGAAAGCCTGAGCGAGAGCGCGATTCCTGAGCGTCGAGGGCGCGGCGTCTGAACAAACTGTGAAGCTCAACGCGAGAGCGAGATCCTTGCATACATTGTGAGTAAGGCCCACGTGAGAGCGCGATTTTGAAATAGATTGTGAGGACGTATCAGGCGGGAGCCGCTGTGGTTGTAAACTGGAGGCGAACCATACAATATGAAGAGGAATATCTTCCCATTTGAAAAGAATGCGAGCCCTGGGAGGAGCACTTTCATTGAAGCAGCAAAACGTTCACCAGAGGGGGAGAACAGTTGGTATTAGTTTTAGAAGTGCGACTTCAACGAAAACGCTTCCTTCCTCCCTCCTCCGCGCTCCCTCCCTCCCCCCCTTCCTCTGCTCTCCTCTCCTCCTCTGCCCCCGCCCCAGCCCAAGGAGCTCTATGGGCCTGGCCGGAGCGAGGAGCTCCTGGGCAAGTTCATACGCGAGAGCGGCGCAGATGTCAAGGTCCAGCCATTGGGGAGGCTCCTGGTCTCCATCCTTGCAGCTCTTCCCTCCTTCTCCTCGGCCCCTACTTCTCATGCCATCCACTGCTCCCCCCCGATCCTCATAATCCTCCCCTTCCTCCCCCGTTCTCCCCCTAGAGCCTAGAGGAGGGCACAGTAGAGCGCACAAACACTGGGCCGTCTGGAGGCTGTATTGGGGCTCTTTTCACGCCTTCTGGGACATCCTGGGAGTCTCCTGGGACTCTCTGGGGCTATCTTAGCGCTCTTGGGCCGTCTGGCACCTTCGGAGACCGTCGTTGGGGCTTACGTGCCGTGTTTGGGATCTCTTGGATCGTCTTAGGGTTGTCTTGGAACTTTCAGGAGGGCCTCCGTGGGCATGATTTACAATGTTTCCGGATGCTGCCGAGGGGTTATTGGACCAAGAAAAAGTCCAGGACCGTTCTACTGGAGCTCTCGTGGGCCGTCCCGAAGGCTTTTGCGGACATCTTGGGGCCGTCGTGGGCCGTCTTCGGGCCGTCTTGGGCAGTTTTCGGGGCAGCTGGAGCCATCTTAGCTGCCACCAGGCACCGTCTTTGGGCGTCTTGCACATCTAGGACCATGTTGGTCATCCCACCCTCTGGCCAGAGTGGTCAGAAAGAGGTAAGAGGGAGGGAGGAGGAGGAGCAGGAGGAGAAGGAGGAGGAGGAGGAGGCGGCGGGGCGGAGGCGGAGGGAGGAGGGATGAGGGAGGAGGGAATTCGTCGTCGGCGGTGGCTTCGCTCAGAGCGTGCTCGGTTTGATCGGTCCGTCCCAGGGCGGGTGGCGCACGCGTACCACCTTCGCCACCGCCTGGAGGCAGCAGAACGCTCCACAAAGGAAACGTGGATGCTCCTGTCCTCCCCTGCACGGGGGAGGTTGTGAAGTTGCGACGCGGCGCATTGCGATGAAGCGTGCCCTTGCTATGCGGAACGACGACGAATGGGGGCGACCCAACGAGAAAGTGGGGAGACGCCTGGCGCCCTACTGGATAATCAGGCTTGGGTACTTAGTTCGACGGCGCTGGATTCGAAGCACTGCGCCTGACCAGGCCTATGCGCGAAGCTGCAGGACGCAACGACGAGCGGACGGGAGGTGAGGCAAAGAGCGAAAGGAAGGGAGGGGGAAGGCAAACCGCTAGGTGAACACCTAGAGCGAACAGACGGCGCGAAGCCACGGAGGAGTGGCATCGCATACTCTGAGCGGGAGTGCGACTACGCGATGAAAAGGCCAGGGACATGCTGGCGAGGCGGCGAGGGCCGAACAGAAAGGCCA